CATGTTATTGTGTCCAAAAACCGCCGAAGCATGTCCCTAGCATTTCCGGTGAGGGTTGGCCTCCGCCAGGGCTGCGCTTGTCAACCAATCCTGTTTGTAATATACATGGATCGGATTTCGAGGGTAGTGGTGGGAGGGTCTGCAGTTCGGTGGACTAAGGATTGCACCACTGCTTTTTGCAGATTGATGTGGTTCTGATGGCTTCATCGGTCTGCGACCTTCAGCACTCACTGGATCGGTTCGCAACGCCGAGTGTGGAAGCGGCTGGGATGAGGATCAGCACCTCCCAAATCTGGGCCATGGTTCTCAGCAGGAAACCGATGGACTGTCCACCTCCAAGTAGGGAATGAAGTCCTTACCCCAAGTGAAGGAGTTCAAGGTATCTCCGGGGTCTTGTTCTCCGAGTGAGGAACAAATGGAACGCCGTGAGATGGGTCGGAGAATCGGAGCAGGGGAGCGGCACATACAACCAGAGCAGTCTCCTTATAATACAGCAAAAAACAGAAATGAAAAAAAGGGAACAGCCCAGAAGCAACACCTTACAATCTACAAAAGAAGAGAACCAAAAAAAAAACAGTAAAGAGCCATAAAAATTCAGTTAACACAACCCTAACACACAAAAAATGGTCCATGAAAAAAGGATAGGTCATAAAAAAAACCCGAAAGAAACAGAATAAAACAGACAGCAGTACCAAACACAAAACAAACGATGAGATGAGGTTTTCACACACAGACAAATGTTACAATCCCATTAAAACAAAACAAACAAGGAGGGATAACGTAGAAGGTGTCGCCCGCCGCGCCTCTCCCGCCGCCCGGGAGGGACCTCGGAGTTGAACCGCTCCCCTCCTTCGGAGGCAGTCGAAATGAGCCAGTCTGAGGTGGTTCGGGCACCTACACGTAGGATGCCACCTGGGCGCCTCCCTAGGGAGGTGTTCAGGCACGTCCAGCTGGGAAGAGACCAAGGGGTAGACCTAGACCAGATGAGGGATTATATTCTTCTCTGTCTGGGAGCGCCTTGGGATCCCCCAGTCAGAGCTGGTTGATGTGCCAGGAAAAGAAAGTTTGGGGCTCTCTGCTGGAACTGCTACCTCCGCGACCAAACGACACAAAAAAAAAGGATAAGCGGAGAGAGTGGATGGATGGATTTTTAAATACAATTAACATCAAAGTTATTTAGGTAAAACGTAATTAAAAATATATTTTAAATATTGAAAGAAAATGTTTTTTTTTAATGTTTAAAATATTATTTGGTTAGAATATCTTAGGCCCTCCCAGAGGGCCTACAGGGTCCCTGACCAGTGGGCGGATTTAGGATTGTAAGAGATCCGGGGCTTAGCCCAGGAGTTGTTGGGGGTTGCGGGGGTGCAGGGGTAAAGTGCTATTTTTTACAAGTGGGAGGGTGGACCGAAACATCCTTTAGGGGGTCGTCGCTCGTCAAGGGGGGTCCGGGGTCATGCTCCTCCGGGAATTATTTTTTTTTAAATATTGAAAGTTAAAGCATCATCTGGTGCACTTTGAGAGCAACATTAAACCCTACCTTAATAATACCTTAAAGCGGACAAAGGCACTTGGAGAACACTTATTCATTCTAACACCTTTAATGAAGCAACTAATGCCTTAACTCACTCAAAACAGTCGTTTACTTATTTCGGTGAAACGAATGTGCATAGAGTTTCTCAAAGGATGCGGGAATAGTGGTTAGAGCCAGTAATTTTGATTTTATAAGAAAGGCCACCTATTGTGATCTGTAAGTCAACCACTATAAAAACTACAATTCCCACGGAGCCTTGCTAAAGCCCACTGTGATGGGCAACCTGTTGAGAGACACCGTCGAGAACAGTTTTTTAACCCCATACTCGTATCGTACCGTAACACGTACCCCTTTAAGTTATGAAGTTATAAGCATTATCAAGAAAGAAAAGAATACCTAAGTTGTTTGTTGTTTTATTTGAGTTTTGCCTATTTCTTTTGAATATTGTAAATTGCCTATTTTATTTTTTGTAGCATGTGCAAAAGTTTGTTATTTTATTTTTAGCAAACACATCTTCTAAACCATCGGAGGCCAAGCAACACTTCAAACTGTGAGTAATTTAAAGGAAAGAAACGAGTTAGAACTCTCTGTTTAAGGCGTCTAGTGGCTTGATGGAAAAACAAGGAAGGAAGCCACGACATTGTTAAAAACTGTTCCTCGACGGCGTCTCTCAACAGGTTGCCCATCACAGTGGCTTTAGCACAGGCGCCGTGGGAATTGTAGTCCTTTATAGTGCGTTGACTACAGACGTCACAATTAGGTGGCCTTTCTTATCAAATCAAAATACTGGCTCTAACATACAATAGAAGATAAAACTGACAATTACAAAGACAGGCTGTTCTCTCTAGAGTAGTATACAGAAGGCCAGGCTAAAGACTTGGTCAAAAGTTGCCAATACATGGATTCTAAAAAGGGCTTCTTGGAAGCCAAAAGACTGCTCTAAGAGAACTATGGACATCAACTCTTAATCGCAGCAGCTTGTTTGGACAAAATGTTGAACTGGAATGCCATCAAGAGTGAAGGTAGAAAAGCACTGCATTCTTATGCTATCTTTCTTCGTGGATGTTGCAACACAATGGAAGATGTTGAGTTTTTGGATGAAATGAATAGCACATCAAACATAAGAAATGTGATCATGAAACTCCCATTTAAACTTAGGGAAAAGTGGAGAACAACTGCATATGCATATTATGAACACAATAAGACAAGAGCAAAGTTTCCAATATTGGTCGACTTCATTGAAAAGCATGCACGCATTGTGATCAGACCCCATGTTTGGAGACATACAGGATGTCATGCCAAAAAGGGATATTAAAGTGTACAAATCACCCAGCAATAAGCCTGCTCATGGTTATAAGGGAAGTCGTTTTGTTACTGTGACAAGCCCAGGAGTCAATGAAGAGCAAAAACCTTTCCAAAACATAAAATCAGACCATAAAGGCATTACTGTTCAGAAGCGCTGTGTATTTTGTGCAGGAGAACACACCTCTGAAACATGTAAGATGAACAAAAAATCTCACAATGAAAAGATTGATTGCTTAAAAGCACAAGGAATATGCTTTGGCTGACTAACGAAAGGAGATCTAAGCAAAGACTGTCAGAAAAGACTGAAATGTGAAGTTTGTTCAATGAAACATCTAACAACATTGCACATCTGCAAGAAAAGGATTGAACAAAAAGACAACTCTGATAAATACACCCACATTTTAAAACAATTCATACAAACTGCCATTCATTGTTGAATAAGTTTAAGTTTTCCAAAAAAACAACAAGAGAAACGGAATTAAATATGATGAAAGAATAATTAAAAGTAGTGCAAACCATGCAACGTAAGCTGTTGAGGGACAAGTGCTCTTGAACGCAGCTTTTCGTGACGTCTGGCAGCGTGTCAACCTAAAGTATGCTCGATTGTAGTATCAGCGTGCACCGCATAGGCGGGTTTTTAGATCTGCTGAGTGCTCAACAACGCAGACTTCACCCGACTGACACAGTCAGCAATAAAACAAGCGCTCCCAATTGTTTACTGAGAACTCGCGCGGAGTTTAGATACTTTACACACATCAGTGGCGGGAGATGCCGTACAGAGGAAGGTACGGACATATCCTTGTTTTGTTTCTTAAACTTGTGCAAAAATAAAGAAGCATAGCAATAAGAGCTCTGACATTAAACGTCTTTGCTGGACGACAGAACAAAGATGGAAGACTTCGGAATATATGCGGTTTTCGGAGTAAACGGTCCCCCTCAGAGGCTGTTGAGGTAACGAAATGATTTTAATAACATTAGTGTTAACATCTTTAGCTTGTTGCTGTCTTTAGAACATTGTGTATGTTAGCTTCAATGTGTTTGAACGGTTTGAACAGCACCTCTATAGTTGTTAAATAATGTTATATAAACGTCATAAACCTTTTTATATGTTGCATTTTAGTAAAACTGTGTAAAAAGAGAATAATACTGATAGCTTCATGCTGATAATAACGCCCCATATCGAAGCAAAACAACCCAAATTCAATAATGACTTTATATCTTTTTCGCGGTGATAGCCCTGAAGGGTCGTGCAGGGTGTGTGTTGGAGTTCCACCAAGTGTCCGCCAGGTGGTGCTGTTCAGCAGCGGGCCGTGGGGGCAGCGTGTCTGCGTCAACGCCGAGCTCAACGACGCTCACCGCTTCCCCATCACTATCGGGAAACTGACCCCGTATAACAAGTAGGGTGACTCTGACCATGTCCCTTTTAATTACAATCTGACCAATAACTTTTTTAAGTAAATGTGTCTGGTTGTCCCTTGCATCTGCTGTCCTCCAGTGATTTCCAATCTGAATTGAAATGATCTGATTTATTGATTTACATCTTGCAGGTGTCTGTCATGGGAGCAGTGGGAGGAGGAGACCTGGACGGACAGTGTTACATTGGATGTCACTCTGGAAGGAGGAAACCTGGTATGTATTGTAACCATATATAGAATGTGGTATAAACCCTAAGATTCAGGACTAAATTGCATACAGACAAAAACTGCCTTTTTATCATGTCCATCACAAAGCAAAGAGGAGTCTCTCGGATGCTGAACAAATTATTTATTCGTTTGTTACTTGACTTATCAAGTATAAGCATCCTTTGTTCCCCCCTCAGGTAAAAGCAGATTGGTCCAAGCCAGAGATCATGTCTGTGAAGGAATACACACCAAAGGTAATGAATTATATACCATTATTATTATATGCAATATTTACCAATACAACCATCAGAAACGTATTCAGACAGTAACATCTTATATCCAGATGCGGCTGTCATATTTAAAACATATAATAAATGTTTCTTAACACTTGTCAATATAACATTTGTTAATGTTTAATAACTTTAGGTTTCTTTTCTACATTTAACACAATGCCTCTCAGCAAGTAGTTTGTACGGTCAGTGGGTGTTTCTGTTGTGACCTGAAACCAGTGCAGATTGGGACTTCATAAAAATCATCATGTCCCCTTCAAAGCTAAACATGTCTGTGTTGCATTGCAATCTGGTCTTTTGATGCTAATATCAGCCTCTTTTTTTTTAATCTAACCCACATATTTCAAACAATGTATGCATTTGAAACGATAAATGACACCAAGTGTTGACCCTCTCAGGGCATCGTGGCTCCCCTCGCAGCCCGGGAGATCAAGGGCAAGAAGAGAGACAGAGAGTCAGAGGAAGACTGTGATGAAAATAAGACGACCGCGACAGGGGAGCTGGAGAACATTTGTCCCAATGGCGGCGTGGAGAAGACCACTCCTTTGAGAAAGGCCAGAGGTCAATCTAAAAGGGCCCAGAAGCTGTTCAGCAGTGGAGCAGATGCAACAAAGATTAAGGGAACAGGTGAAAGAGACCGCATGTTGTGCAAGGAGAAGTGTAATTATATTGCATTAATTGTCCTGATGTCAAATCCAAAACTTCCCATGTAGCTGTGAACCAAATCCGTCAAAAATCATTCTTAATCTCTTCGTTAAATAGTTTTACAGAAGAAATGGCACTGAAAAGGTGTCTTAGTGCCTGTTTCTGTATATTCTAGTCTTTGTAAAGAAAGCATTATTTATCCATTTGTGTTATTGGTAATGATAATTGCTAAAGACACTTGGTGTGGAGGAGTTCTCTGTGTCCTCTAATAAAATGTCTTTTAACTTTCCACAGCTAATGGAGCAGGAGAGGCGCAGGGGATTGTGGGTAGAACGCAGAGTGCAGCCAGGACGAAGAGTAGGCAGGCCAAGACTCCCACACAACCCTGTGAGTTTGCATACACATTACATACCGTTTCAGATGTGTTTCATCTTGTGTTTATTCACCTTTCAGTCCCATACCTGGTACATTAGTGCACACCACCCACCAAAGGTTTTCTGTAACTTTAACTTAGACAGGCCGTGATGTATCTAGGTATTTGAACGTTACAGCTACAGTTGGAAAATACACATATTCTCCTTCTTTCCAACAGTAAGACATCTCGATGCCTTTTCTTATACCTGTTCGTCATATATGGAACTTGTACCAGGAAACGCTTAGCTTAGCATAAGACTGAAAACATGGAGAGTGGTTAGCTTCATGGAGGGTTTATCGAACTGGCCCAAGTAGCTTTCACCTGTTTTTAAAATATCCCAAAGAAACACATACCCTACCAAAAAGAGGTGTAAAATAACCTTAAGGAAAACAAGAATGACAAAGTGTGAAAAGCCTCAACAAAGAGACACACAATTATACAACAAAAAAGAGGGGAAACAACTATAACATTTTATAGATAAAGAGAGATGTGGTGGGGTCTTTTCCATCTGAGGTCTCTTGTCCCTTTTAATGTTTGAACTTTGATGTCCTGTGTTAACATATTATATCTATCCTGATCTTTGGTTTTCCTACAGCCCCATTGGTCAGCCCGTCAGGCCGCTGGGGTCAGACTCTGTGTCCTATAGACGCTCAGACAGCGATTCTGATTGGAGGACAGGGAGCCAGGATGCAGTTCTGCAAGGACCCCATGTGGAAGCTCTGCACAGGTCTGTGGACCATTCACGGCTACAGATATCCTTAAAGCTGTTTTAGATCTGGCAGGGGTCTAATTTCCCGTGGATTAATGTCTAAGAGTTCTTGTCTCTGCCAAACAGAGGACATGTCCTGGGTGGCAGCGGAGACTCTGGCAGAGGGTCCCACCCCCGAGACCAGGATCGGCCACACCGCCGTCTACGACCCGGACTCCAGGCGGATCTTTGTTTTCGGAGGCTCCAAGAACAAGAAATGGTTCAACGACGTCCACATCCTGGACACACGGAGCTGGAAGTGGACCATGGTGGAGGTGTGTGTTGCTAGTTTGAACTCCATATTGCCTTTTTTTGCTGCCTGTCCTGTTTCTTGAAGTCTTCCTCTCTCCTCAGGCTCAGGGGAAGGTTCCTCCTCTGGCCTACCACAGCTGCAGCATGTTTCGGGGCGAGCTGTTTGTGCTCGGCGGAGTTTTCCCGTGTCCGAACCCAGAGCCTGACGGTTGCAGCGACTCGCTCTACATCTTCGATCCCAACCTCTCCATCTGGTATCAGCCTATTGTGACCGGTAACAAGCCCTCCCCCCGCTCAGGGTAAGATGGTTCGATCCATTACATCTGCTGATGCTTTTTTCCAACATCCCTTTCTCCCCGTCTCATCCTCGTTCCTTGTTGTTCTTCCAGCCATTCTGCATGTGTGATGCAGCAGATGAAGATCTATGTGTTTGGAGGATGGGACACCCCTGTCTGCTACAATGACATGTACATGCTGGACCTCGGTAAGCCGCACAGCTGGGTATTATTAGAAATGTATGCAAAAGCCTTGCATTTATTTGTAGGCACAAACAAGACACAATGATCTGGATGAGGTATAAAAACATTGCCTGGTTCATTTATTTTGACCTTTTTATAATTATATATTTTTTTTTTCAAGACAAATGTATCCCCCCAACTCCATCTCTCTGGTTTCTTAATCTTACTCAGCTACCCAAAAATAAATCAAATAAAAAGAGCAATAATACACTTAACATAGGAACTGTTTAGAAAACTATAAAATACAATAATAATACCAGTGAAACATAAACGAATCCCAATTAACAGTAGTCATTTTCCAAAAAGTATTTTCTTCCATTTTTATAAAAGGCATCAGACCTTCCTCTGATAGCCAAGGTTAATGTCTCTAATGCAGGACATTGAGAGAGTTGAATCCACTGATAGACTGATGGAATTACTGGGTTTTCCCAAGAATAGACATTGTATATTGAGTTTTAAAATAAAAGTTTTCCCGGTATTATCAAGCCTTTAAATCTCTGAGGTCTGTGGTTTTTCTGATGAAGCTACGCTAAATGCCTAATGATAAAAATAACAATTATATTTTTGTTTTGCTTAGGTCTGATGGAGTTCTCTGCTGTGAAAACATCTGGGAAAGCCCCCTCTCCACGAAGGTACAGCAAAACACACACAGTTGGGGGGGAAGATGTATCAAAAGCACATATGTTAAGTCTTATTTTCATATATTTTCGATGTAATATAACCTCTCTGTGTGTGTTCCAGCTGGCATGGCAGTGCAGTGCTCTCGGACACAAAGTTCCTGATCCACGGAGGCTACAACGGGAACAACGCTCTCACTGACGCCTTTGTCTTCGATATCGGTGAGAGGCAACTCAAAAATAAGAACAAAATAAATGAACCAGGCAATGTTTTTTTAAAAGAAAAAAACAAGTGACTTAATTTAAAGAGGAAGTGGCCCAATGGACTGAAAAGCAAATAATTAAGTTAACTTCATGAATAATGAAACAAGGCTTACGTGTATGTTTTCCTTTTTTTATGTATTTATTTGTCTCTTTGTTTGATTTTTGTCAGACACCAACAGCTGGACGAAGGTGACGCTCCCTCAGCTGTCCCTCCCCAGGGCGGGACACTCCATCGTCACCATGGAGACAGACGCTCTCTTCAAGGAGGATGGAGACGTGGATATGGACGCGGGCTCCATCGGCAGAAACCTGCTGGTGTTCGGAGGCGGAGACAACGAGAGAAACTTCTACTCCGACCTGACGACGGTCGCCGTGGAGGATCTGCTCGCTGCTGTTTGAAGAGCGTGAGTCAGAGGTGATCCTCACTCCCTGACTGCAGCTATTTGTACACCTCCACACATCCTTTATTATTTATATTCCTTCAGAGTGTCTTAATTTCCTTTGGTTGTGTGAGCCCTCTTCTTCCCGTTATGTTTTTAACGGGTTTTTAAAATGTTGGGATTGAATATGGTACAGTTTGGACATTTGTAGAATTCAGATGTAGCAATCACATTTTAAAATACTCCTAAACAAACATCAAAGAAAAGTTATCTCTCAGTCTCTGTTGATTCAAAAATAATAACAACAATGATCTCTGTTTGAAACTGTTCAGATGATTCTATTTTTGTATGTACATAGTTTAAAGTTTTTTTCCTCAGGTAAAATGTATATTTTGTATTTCTGATACATTCAACTTTATTGTTTTTTCTTTACAAATGAATAACAGGGACTATATATTTGGATTTTGAATTTGTTAAACTCAAAATCACAGTATTGTCATTTCCAAAATCTCATGTTGCAGCTATTATTCTGTAAAATACTTAATAAACATTTCATTTTCTTAACTCTATTTTATTCACTATCTTCATTTTGAATTTGAGTTGCATCTGATAGTAGGCCACATGTGAACACAGCTTGAACACGCTTTTCCATTTGCAGAATAATTGACCCACTAGGTTTGAGACTTAAAACAGAACAACACATTAATAACATCCCTGTTGGCCCGGTAACCAGCACTAACATGAGCTAATGTCACCCTCTGATGCTCTCTTCAAAGAGCCACAGCTAAATGGAGACATTTGAATAAAAGGTAAATGGAGCTCAAGAAGGATTATCTTCAATTCTGAAGAAAGGCTGATAATGGTGTCATGAATGTGGCTGGTAAGGTTAATACACTTTTAGTATAGCAGCTTTCACACAAGAAATGACAAAATGCAAAACCATTTATACATAAAATGTTCAAAAAAATAAAATAAGTAGCCATATTTGCAGCATGCACATATACACAATATTCACTGCAGCAGCAAAGATAATGTGCTTAGATTCATATATTTTTATATATTTCTATAAGGATTTATTTTGTGATATGACTAACTCTTGCTCTCAAGGTGATTGTAGCCGTCTATACAGATTCAGCCTATTTTTGGTCTTGTTCTGTAATTCAGCCCACGCTGCTGTGACTCAGCACCTGCTAAATTGCTGGGTTTAGAAAGGATTTCAATCTAGGCCAGGAACAAAGTAGGAGAAGGGTGATCCGTAGAGTTTGCACACTCATTCATTTTATGTGTGTTTGTACTCTTTTTGTACTTCTCTTGATTGTCTCCTCTTCCATAGTCAAGTCAATGCTGCACTGTAAGGCAATACTATTAACACAGAGTGAGCTAGATTCATGTTGAAATGCAAAAAGGCTGCAGAGACAGCCTGCTAGTGATGCATCAACAGTCTGCTGTACAGGATGGAGGAATGATTGGCCACATATAAAAAATAACATTACAGCCTCAATCTGGCAGGATACAGTTGGCAGCCTGAGGTAGGAGACTGGAGATAAAAAGCATGCTATGTCTTGTAATGTTCGTCCAATGAGACTAACAAATACTCTCATATCAGATGCAATTAGCGGTTTCCAGTTCAACCTCCCACTCAGTGCGGCATTTTTCCTCCACAGAAGAAGTATGGCAGCCAAAAAATGCATTTTCATCCAAATATTTACGAGACACACAGCAGGAAGTAGTCTCTCAACGATAGGCTGTGGGATCTGTTTATTTATTTCAATAGATAGTGTTCTGTAATATATACAGGCATCCTGTAGGTGGCGACACTTCCGCACATTTTCACAATCAACAACCTTGAGCCTTTTCCCTTTTTTACCCTTTTTTTCAACAATTCCTGCAAACACAGGCAGATCATTTAGACAAATTAACTAATACAAAGGGAACAACAGATGCTATGGATTTACAGAACATAAAAGGATACAGATAACAACAAGGGACAGCATGTTAAATGTAAACATCGCAGCCATAACAAATTGACATTAGTAGTAAATAAATAAAATATAAGGCAGAAAAAAAGAAGATGGAAGGAATAAAGTATGAATGTAGGGTTTGATCTGATTGCTTAAAGGTGGATTATTTTTTTACATTTTTTGCTGAATAAAACAACATTAGGTCGGTGAGCTTTGTGACGGTTTGGTTTAGTATTACTAATTAAAACTAGATTCATACAGCTCGTGAAAAACCTGTACAAAAATATCTTAAAAAATTAAATACGGTCTCTTGTGATCGACCGTCAAACTGGATATGCTCCAACACTGAAAAAGAAAAAAAGGACATATTCTGCCAAGTCAGTTGGATTAGTGTGTGAGTGTTTAATGATTGATAAGTCACAAGAAAGGCCCAGTGATTCCCTCTGGTACAGGATATTAATTATTATATGAATACTGTTCAATGCACTGAAAACTGAGTTGTTTGTCTCCGATAACAGTGTTCGTGTACCCCTGCGTTTGCACTCCTTCCATCATCAGGGATGTGATTTTTCCCTCGATTCACTGGGAAATCCTGCCAGTTGGACGCTCTCCCAGTCAAGCCTCTCATACCCCTTGATTTCCTGATTTTTACATTTTATTTCTCCATAACATCCTTGCATTGTGCAGATGGTGAACACTGGTGACTAGTCTCTGCGGACCTCCTGATTGACAGAGTTCTGACATCACCACTTCTAATGGAAGCCATATTTCTTCGTCAGTCCATGGCTGTTGCTAAGTAACTTGAAAAATGTCTGTGCCAGCTGTCAGCATCTCACGTCACATTTATGGACACATTTTTACAAAAATCTCATTACTACAGCTGTGCGAAGAAGACACATATTCGACACCAAGGGCAACAGCAGAGCAAAAATAAGAGATATGAGGTCTTTAAAATGTGACCTCAGTCTATTCTTTCAATGAATATTGACACATTCATTTGTTTGACGGCACCAGGGTTAACATTTTGAACTAGATTTGGACATAGAGCCCCTTTACAAATTAGGGCAACAGGATTAATTAATAAAGCGAGACTTAGATTGAATTGAATTTGTACACATTTTCACAAATGACCAGAAGCAACTGTCAAAAGAGTGGATTATTGTTGGGGACCCTGGGGTTCTATCAACCAATCATTACTGTATTGGCCTATAGACTCAAGAAAAAAACACAACACATAATAAATAACATACAATTGACAATACAAAAAATAAACATTTAATTTCTATAACTATCTTAGACAAGATGCCATTAATGGAGGTTTATTCTGTTCAATTGGAAATCTTGCACCTAAAAAAAACTGTTGAAATCAGGTTGAAATGCATCTTTGCCTCAGCTGTGATTGCTTCTGAAGCATTCAAAGCAGACATCTGGGGACCCCATAACAATGTCATATGTACATCTCAAATAGATTTTGCTTTTCAAACTTAAGTTTTACAAAGAATATCCTGCTGCACCTGCCATTTAATAAACTAAGTCAACAGTAAAGACTCGGAAGAAGCCGATTGGAGCCGAGTGCAGTACGAACCCCCTCCCTCTCTAATCGTTTCGTGGTGCAAGCAGCCATGTTGCCGCGAGCTTGTTCCGGTATCAGGGCAGGATCGTGCGCATAGACTGCAATCGGGCGCAGCTCCTCGCCTCTCTCCCCCTGTCGCCCGTGACACGCACCTCCTAACGAGAAAACCCCAGTATACCAATAATGGATTTTACAACCTGATGATCCCTTTTTGAGTCGGCGGGTCTTGGGAATAACAGCAGTCGGTGTAACGACAGGACGAGCTGGTAAATCGCCACACTGCAGTGCAGCACTGTTGAGCGACCTTATTCCAAACACGCAACACAAGGAAGAGCGCCGGTGATTTCCGTGGATTTAGAGTTTTGTGGGCTGCTCTGTGGCAGTCAGCAGCACCGCCGCGGCCGCAGGAGGAGCAGCTAACTAGCTAACTTTACTTCGAAAGAAACACTCAATTCGCTACATGGGCTAATTTTGGCCAGCCTGTAAGCTAGTGCAACAGATTAATTCGTGTTTTTCACCTGCCATGTGACCAGTTTACATGGTGCTGCTTTTATTTTTTGGATACCCTTACCCTGGATATCTCGCTGGGAACATTTTGAATAGTTTTGTGGGAGTTAGGAAGGTCGAGCCCTCGCCGGGAATAACTTTGGCCTGAAAGTTTGCAGAACCAGGACCTGGCTTCAAACCTGAAAGGAAACATCCCTGCCACAAAAAAAGAAAAAAAGAAGCGTCGACACTGTGTTATGAAACCGACTCTGGATAAACGTTTGTTGTAGATTTGGGCGACAGTTGACGCTTCCTCGGACGTTAGTTAGCAACCTTACAGGTTAGCATGCTAGCCACCTAATTGAACCTTGTCTCGTCCAATACAACCAACTTTTCTTCGTGCTAGCACAAGTAGCTAGCCGGCCAAAACGTCATTAGGTTGGTAGCTCCCTGGTCACAATTGGCACTGCTAACTGGAAACTGAATGCATTCACAACAAGACCGAAGCTGAAGAAGACATTTAGCTTTTTCCTGTTTTGTGCTTGTTGACAAACATGGGACGTGCGGTTGCTGCTAGTTGGGTTCAGCTAGCTGGCTAACTCGGCTAGCCACTGATGTGGGTTTCAACTTGTTGATTCACGGGCTATCTGTCGTGCTGCTAGCTGGCTAGCGCTGGACTTCTGCTGGAAATTTTCCTCTGCCCTCAGCTAGACAGATCTTAAATGTACAATAGACACTGAAGAATCGTTTTTGTTTCATTGTTTCCTTCCCCCTTTTTGGCAACTTCAAGTCTTCAAAAAATGTCAACAAGGACCCCACTGGTGCAAGTCATTGAAAATACAGCTGGGCAGGTAAGACTCTAAGATCATTCTCCATATTACTGTTGATATTTGTTTACCATTAACTCTACTTCAATATGATATTCCTATATGCTGTGGAGAGAGGCCCTGTTTGGCCTTCTCCACAGTCTCTGGTTGTCTATTTGCTTTTTCTCTCTGTTGTCTTTGCCACACAGCAGTGATTCACCAGCCTTGCCTACGCACTCACACTGGATTTCCCACTCTTTGCAGAATAGAAGAATACATTTAGGTTTATGTTTAGTCTGTGTGTTGGGCATGTCCTCCTACTTGACTTTTCAGTACTTTGACCTGTTGCAATGCAGACAGGCAGTCAGACAGTTCCACATAATTGCTATATTGTACAGTACAGAAACCCTATAATGTGTAACATATATTGTTTAATGCAATCTTGTGTGACTTGCGCCTCACAGCTTTATGTTTATATGCTCAGTAAAAATGTACTGAAGCCATCATCAATACGTTTTGTATATTGCTAGGTTTTGTGTTTGGGTGGTGTTTGAGAAACTTTTCTATTAGAATGTGGACTTTTGTTGAAGGCTTGATACCTTGTATGTATGTATGTTTTTTGCAGGAAATATTGATTTGCAAATTCTGTTGTGCAGGCAAGGCTTAAAAAATCCCAAAGGAGATTTGGAATTGTATTTATACAGGACAATATTGGAAACCTTGAATATGCAACAAAGCTTTAATGAGAAAAAGAAGCATTTGGGGCTGTGTGATAAAAGTAAAAAGGGTTTTAAGGTTTTTTATGCAAACTTGTAAGAAACAAGACTCATCATTTCTAGGTGCTGGTACAGGGGGTGATTCTCAAACTCACTCAAAAACCATATCCGATTTTGACCTAAATCTACTGACCCTTAAGCAGAGGCCAGAGGGATTCTAAAAACACTATAAATACCTTTCAAATATGCAAAGGCTTTTCAGAGCTAGAGATTGAAGAAGTATACATTTCTATTAACTTGATTAGACAAACACACTGGTAGTGTGCTGTAAAGATTAAAAAACAAAAAGACCCCTGAACTGTGCTCTGAAAAACATTATTAGAGGGCCGGAAAACAGCCCTTTTCCAAGACGTTATCTGTCTTAATCTTGACAGTTTTATCTGGAGATTCATTGTAATTGGGACAAAGATGCACATTCTCACATGAAAACCATTATAGTTTCCGATACAGAGCATGACATGCATTACTTGGGGCAGCTGTTGACAAACATCAACGGATTGAAAAAAAATCTCTTTTGAGTGATGGATGGAAACATTGTCCGTCTACATGTTGAAAGACTAGCCAGTGGGTGATGTCACCCCGAGTGCGAGCTAAACCAAGTTCTATATTTGTGACGCTTAAGTGTCTATAGGTAGGTCAATGTAGCTGTGGTGACAATTCAGTGTGATGGATTGTTTGAGCAGTTGGTCAGTAGCTTTGATAAGTATAGCAACATAAATAAAGCAGATGAACACAGAAGAAAAAATCTGTGGTTAAAACCCTTGAACAGTTTTTTACAACCGTGGCTATTTGAAAAACATAAACAATAGGTTGCAAGAGCTGCACCCTCTGTCAAACTGTTTTCTACCTGAAATTATGAAAGCCAATCACAGGTGTGTAAAATCAGCTGCACAGCCTTCCAGACTGCAGATATGATCCTACCAGCCATTATGGAAACCTCTTGGTATTGGAGACTCAATGGTTAAAAAATGTAGGCTGTGTTCGCTTCTTGCACAAATAAAATGCTGACAGAAATTGTCTGTTGATACCTTGATCTAGCTGCGAGTGTATAATGGATCCCAGCTTCCATTACAATCCAAGCAGACAGCTAAACTGGTCGATCTATGCAAATAAGTACACACATACATATTCCTACAGGGCTACACCCTTACCTGGAACAGAGGTCAGAAACAATACAATTCATTACATAACCCTTTGACTGTAGCAGCTTTAAACACACACTGAGTACAAAACCAAAGTGCAGTAGCTTGGTGATAAATAACGCTCACTCTTGACTTCCTGGTTTGCCCCTGTTTGTGTACCCTTTAGTGAAGTACCTGAAGCAAAACAACCTCCTGTGTGTAGATTTGTTGTAGTGCTAATGTTGGTCAGAATGCACGGTTTACTCTTCCTGCAGCAACTATTGGGGATTTAGGGGTTTTAGGAAAAGAGTTTGGGGTCATGGCTAGTCCGAAACTGTGTTTGTAGGCAAAAGGTCACAGATGAATACTCCCACACAAACACAGTCTGTTTTAAAAGGCCATGGATAGAAAGCCTTTGGTGTCGGGTCTCAAGATACAGGACAAAATGGCACCGGACATGAAGTCGGGTTGAGTATTGACATGACTGTCCCTGGTCCCTGTCATAGATGTATATTTCGATCTGAATAGTCAATGTGTCGCCAGGTAAATAAGAAATGATCTCAAAATGTCCTCACCTTGTCTCTGCCATAAAGACTGTTTGAGTACAGGGCTGTAACCAGTATTGCAGATGATTGTTGACTTGTTTGGTCTATAAAATGGTGAGCAATGTAGATCAGTGCTGCTCACAACCTAAGATGATGTCTTCAAATATTGTGGTTTGTCGACAACACGAGTAAAGAAACCATAAATATTCATATTTAGAAGATGGATTCATTTAATTTGACTAAATAACAACAAATGTTATCGATTATCAATGAAGTTGTAAAATACAAATTCATCTTTTCATCTTAAGTCCCTTACACGCCAAGCCGATTTCGGCCATCGATGGATGTTGGGCCGTCGATGAGCGTCATGTCGCCCTACTCAAATTGGTGTGTCCCGCACCGTCGTGTCTTTTCGGCCGTGCCGACACCTTCCGCCGCTGATTCGACATGTTGAATCGGGAGGCTAAAGGCCGTCGGCCAAAGAAATCACTCTGATTGGCTGTTCAGCTTAGCGAATCAGTGCATGAGAAGCGAAACGGAAGCGAGGGACCCAAACAAAACAAACTATTAAGAAGGCAAATCTGAGATTTCATTTAACTCCAGCTCTCGACACAGGTTCGGGAAAGCCCCATGAGCTTCTCGCTGTAGAGTGAAAATGGAACGCACACGCTATTTGTTGTTTGTTTAAATCACGCAGTCTGTTCTTCTTCTCTCGGTGTATCACTCAGTCTGTCTTCCGGTTGTTGCCTCTTTTGAATGATGAATACACTCTACCGCCGCCTGCTGGTAAGGAGAGTTATTGCCACTCACGCATGCGCAGTTCGTACGTGCAACTTGGCCGTTGGCTGGAGTCTTTGTAGTGTGTTCCAGTGCGACACATGGCCAAAACGCAGAGACGCGAGCCGACGCAACTGTCGGAGTCTGTCTGTGTCAGTTCTTTGTTGTCAGATTGGTGTGTCCGGGCCTTTACACCCAACTCTGCTTGGTATCCTCGACCCCCTCCCCCTCATTTGCTGTAATCTT